GTGGCCGAGTGACCCCCGCCTGCTCTAGGGTGGCCGAGTGACCCCCGCCTGCTCTAGGGTGGCCGAGTGACCCCCGCCTGCTCTAGGGTGGCCGAGTGACCCCCCACCTGCTCTAGGGTGGCCGAGTGACCCCCGCCTGCTCTGGAGTGACCAAGTTTCAAAGGCGCAGAGCCCCTCCCCAGCCTCCCCCGAGCCCTCCTGAAGGGGTGCTCTCAGCCACAATTTCCACCCCCTCTGGGCAGAGGCTCCCCTTCCCGCCCTCCGTACACCCCACGTTCTGTGGTTGCTTGCCTCCAGGTCTCCCGTGCCCACTAGCCGTCCCCCGTCCTCCCAGGCCCCAGCTGGCTGTGTCCTCCACCCTGGGCCGGGTTGCAGCCCGGAGCCTGGACTCCTCCGGGGCCGCCTGCCTCCCCGGGAACGGCACGTTTTAAGGAAACTGTTTCCTCCCCTTTTTGTTGTCTAAGAGAAGTGGAGGCTGATGGGAGTTCCACGCAGGTCAACGTGGTGCGTTGATTCCTGATCCTTCCCAAACCCCCAAGAAAAGAGGAGATGCCTGTGGGGAGTCGGGGTCGCGGTCCCGTAGTTCACAGCCCCCTCCCGCCGCCCTGGCTCCAGGCCACCCTTGGCTTCAGCCTGATGCCAGGCCTGTCTGGGCCCCTCGCTGAGGCCAGGGAAGGAAGGGCTCTTGGGCTGAAGCCACACTGAGTGTCTCCTGCATGCACACAGCGGAGGTCAGTGTGGCTCTGGTGGGAATCCGTGATCTCAGCCGGAGGGCAGGCCAGTGGCCTTCGGGAGCCTCCAGGACCAGCAGAGTGGGGAGGGGCCCCCAGAGCCCGTCCTGGGCTGACCTTCCACGGACAGCTCGGAAAAGGACTCTCCCTGTGTCTGGAAGCCTCCCGACCCCCAGAAATAAGCCAGAGCTCATGGTGCAGGATGGCGGAGCCCCCAGACTGCACAGAGCAGGCGTCCACACMCTGGTGGCAGGAAGCCCAGGACTCGAGCAGCCCCTGGAGCTGACGGCCCTCCAGAATGTTGCCCTGGCTCCTCTGTGGTGCGTATTAGGGCTGCTGCGCCACAGCAGGAGGAGCAGGAAGCCTTGTCCGCGTTTTGAAAGCCAGGCCTGAAGAAGGTGCAGGCGGGTGCCCCGGGGCTGGCTAGTGTGGGCAGCGCACTCAGGCTTGCGAGGACAGGAGCGCGTCCGCCTGCAGGGAAGGCCCTCCAAGGACACCCGGAGAGCGGGCCAGTGAGGCCCGTGGCGGGGAGAGCAGGCTCTGGGCAGAGGAAGGCCTCCGTCCCGCCCTGCCCTCTCCAAACTCCAGATTCCTCAGCTGCAAGGGGACCACCCCCTCCAGCCCTGCGAGTCCAGAGTGTCACCTGGCCCACAGCCCCAGCCAAGCGTGGCCTGCACCCTCCCCCGCAGCCCTGCCAACCCCTGGGCAGGCCTTCCTTCAACCCGGGGCACTGCGGCACCTCCATGGCTGCTCCTGGCCCACCCCCAGGCTTCTCACGCCCCTCACCCACCTCCCTGCCTGGAAGCCAGATCGGCCCAGCCTGGGAGTCCCTGTGGTGTTCCTGACCTGTGCCCATCCTGTCCCCCGCCACCCGCAGTGGGAAAGTCCCAACGTCCTGTGTCTGGTCTACGACGTGACCAACGAGCAGTCCTTCAACAGCTGTGGCAAGTGGCTGGAGAAGGTCCGGGCGCAGGCTCCGGGCACCACCCTGCCAGGTAGGACGGTGGCACCTGTCCTCAGCTCCAGAGCCTGAGGCCGTCGCAGGGGTCGCGGTGGCACCGGACAGGGCCCCTGAGCTTGGGCCTGACAGCCCAGACTTGCTGCCTCTCAGCAGCCACGCCTGCCTCCCTCTCGGGGTCTGTCCTGGGTGGTGCCACCCTGCTGGCCACCAAGTCCTGGTGAGGCTCAAGATGATAGGGGGGAGGCACTGGAATAGGAATTGATGTTTCCAGAAAGCCCCCCCCCCCCCGGGAAGAAGGCCTCATTTCATCCTCTGTGTGGGGTGCAAGTTACATCCAAGTCCTGTTGTCACTTCTGAATGCCTTAAATCCGTTTACCTTGCTCCGATGTGAGATCAACAAATTCTCCTCATTATAGACCAGGGAAAGCGGTCCCCAGAGACGGCTCGGAAATTAGCTGCAGCCGATGCAGCTGGGAACAGAGCTAAATTACCTCGGAGTCCCTGACTCGGAGCCCAGGCCCCGGATTAGTATTAATGACCATTTTAAAGTTTGCTCCATGCACTAGGAATTACCGCAAACGCACACAGAAATGTGGCCTCGGCCTTCATGAGGCCTGCAGCCCTGAGGAGACAGGGACACGTGAAGCCTAGGAAAAACCCTGAGCAAACCACAAGTCAGAAGCAAAGCACCTTCACCCTCGGGGCAGCGCTGAAGACCAGGCGCCTGCCACCCCTCACCCTGGGTCAGGCCGTTCTTTGGTGCCCGCGGACCGCACGCTGCCTCTTTGTCTCTGCTGCTGACCCCCAGCCTGCCACGGCTGAGGGTGCCACCTGTGTTCTCTGGGCAGGTGTCCTGGTGGGAAACAAGACAGACCTGGCTGGCAGGCGGGCAGTGGACTCGGCCCAGGCCCGGGCGTGGGCGCTGGGCCAGGGCCTGGAGTGTTTTGAAACGTCCGTGGTGAGTATCCTTACAGCGTTGCCGCGGCTGATGTGGCCTCTGCTAGAAGCAGCTTTCAAACGGCCACGTGTCCAGTGGCCAGGCCACCATCTGGGGTCTGGTTTGGGCTGACGTTCACATTCCCAGCCCAGGGTGTGTCCCATCCTTCCCGGCACGGCCATGGCTGACCCGGGGGAACCTGCTGGTCCTTGGCTTCCCAGCACCCCTCTGTGTTTGAAATTTGAGGGCCAAAAAATCAAAGTATTTCTTTAAACAAAACTTAAAATGTTAAAACAACAACAAAAAGAAGAGTGTTCATCACCAAGACACTGTTACAGGTCAGCAAGAGCCACCTCCCCAGGCCACCTGCCCTCCCAGGCAGCAGGGGCGGGGGAGGGAACAGTGTTTGCTGAGGGCCTACTGTGCGCTGGGCAGCTGCTCCTGTCCCTCTTACGCCAGTGACATGCAGACTCGGAAGGTCGTGGAGCAGCCCTGGCTCACAGCTGACCGTGAAGGACCAGGACTCGGGCTCAGGGGGCTGGAAGTTCAGCCTTCGAGCAGGTGCTCCCGCTGCCTCCCAGAACTGCCGGGGCTCTTGGGGACATAATTCTAGGCGAGCCTGGTTAAGGTCCTGCTCCACCCAGCCCCCGTCAGCGTCCGCCCTCAGAGTGAGGTTACGATCAGTCCTTTGACCAGGKCTCCTGCCACTGCAGCCTCTTAATGCATTTGGAAAATGGTTCGATTTCCATCTATTTCCGGAGCATCCGTGTGTCTGCTGGGACTCGCGGCCCGGAATTCCTCACTTTTTATGCTGGGATCTCCCCAGGTCATGTGTTGGAGAGCTTTCAGATTCACTTAGAAACCCGGGTCCTGGCCGCCTGCAGGCCCTGGTCTGTCCTCATACTGAACCTGCTCTGACCAGACCAGACCTGGCGCTGGCTGCTCGACCACACTCCCCTCTTCTCTGCTGGAGGGTGAGCTCCCTTGTAGGATGGGGCGTGGCTCCAGCCTGTCCACCCTCCTTAGCACTCCCTGTGTTGCCAGCGTCTCCTTCTCTCCCGTGTCTCTTGCTGGAGAGCCTGGGACACACCACAGACCTGGGGACACGCCACAGACCTGGCTCCCTTTGCTCACTTCAGGCCTCCTGGCCAGCCCCGTGGAGAGGCCGGCTCCTGAGGTGGGGTCGGAGGCCAGAGGCCAGCCCTGTGCCAGCCAACGGGCCCTGCCCCAGCCCCAGGCTGCCCATCTGTGGAATGCAGTGACCCCACCCAGAGCCACCACCTCCCTGACTTCTTTGCCCGTTGAGCTGGGGACACTTCACGGCCGTCACGAGGCTGCGCTTCGCCCAGGGTGGTCTCGCAACAGGTTCTCGTGTTTCAGCAGCTGTCTGGGGCGCAGTGTGTTCCTCCTTCTGGCAACTTATTTCTTAAAAATTAGAGACGTGCAGGCCACACACAGCAAGAGCATGGTGGCCGTGCAGCCCGAGTGGCCGCTGGCCCACCCTGAGAGCCCCTGATTCCCTCCCTTAGACACCACCCAGGGCGCATCTTTAACTTCCCTGTTCCCCATAAAAATGTCCCCTGACCCTGAGTCATGAGAAGCTCCTCATCTCAGCTGTCCCCTGCCTGGTCCTGCAAGCTGGGCACTCTGACCTTGACTGGGCGTCTCCCTGGCTGCAGGAGGGCAGAGGCAGGAGCCAGCAGGGCAGCGTGTTGCAGGGTGCCCGGCTGAGGCTTGTGGACCTCAGAGATGCCCTCCCTGCCCCCATGGATGCACCGTCCACCCCTGGAGGCCCCAGCACCATCCTTCAGGGGCTCCCACCTGACCCACTGGCTTGGAGGTGGGAGCATGGCCACAGGTGCCACCTGATGGGAGGCAGTGCCAGCCATCCCACTGGCAGCCTGTCCTCCCTGGGCCACCAGAGCAGCCGGCCACCTCTCCTGGCCTGGGGTCAGCTGGGTTACCTGGGCCTCGGGCTCTCCTGAAGCCTCCTCCCTGACTGGGGGTGAGGAGGGGGGCCTCCCCGGGAGCCCCCACCGCCCTGGCCACATTCTCGGCGAGGCCTCCCCTGTCCTCCCGCCGGGCGGCCGGGCTCTTCCTCCACAGCTGTTCTGCTCTGGCCTCTGGGGCTCCTGTCACACGTYAGCCAGGGTAACCTTCAGGACAGGCTCCGTGGAAACGGGCCGGGGTTCAGGCCCTGCCAGCAGACCCCCCTCCCTGTGTCCCAGATCACTTGTAGGATCAGCGTGACAGTGGCCTCCCCTGATGGTGCCAGGTGGACGGGGCGGGACCGGGGGGCCCTGATGGCCCTGGCTGGAGCTGGGCGGGTGAGCGCGGCCTCAGCCCCCTGTCTCTGCAGAAGGAGATGGAGAGCTACGAGGCCCCCTTCCACTGCCTGGCCAAGCAGTTCCACCAGCTGTACCGGGAGAGGGTGGACGCCTTCCACACCCTGGTGTGAGCGGCCGCCTGGGCCGCCGTGGGCCTGGCCGTGCCTCTCCCTGGAGGACGAGCGGCGCTGGAGTTGCTCTGCGCCCAGGGACCTCGGGACAGCCGCAAATAAAACTAGGAGGAAGCGCAGCAGCCGCAGCTGTGTCCGTCCTTGGCGGGTCTGTGGGTCCTTCCCAGAGCAGCCTGGGAGCCCTGCCCAGCCCGGGGTCACCAGCTGTTGGAGTGGGGCGTCCTGTCCACCCTGCATGGCTGGGTGCCGAGGCCCCAAAGGGCCTTCCACCTGCGAACCCCAGGGTGGCTTTGGGCACAGCCGGGACCCATGATGGCTGCAGTGGGGCCCGGGCCTGTCCCTGCTCTGACCAGCTCCTAGGGCTCCAGATGCCAGGGCTCCCTGAGGGGGCTTGTCCCTGACAGCAGTGTCCTCTGCTGGCCTCCCCCGGGCCTCGCCTGTGAAGGGCCCGCCTTGCCCAGCTGCGGGGAACCCTGAGTGGCAAGAGCCGGGGGCGCGGCCTTTCCCTCGTGGCCACCTCCTAGCAAGCCGGGCAGCGGTCCCCTGGTACCCAGCTCCACAGCTCCATCCCGTCCCCACCCCAGATTCACCTTCCCAGACCCCCCTGCATCACCTGCTGCGCTGGTGACACCCACAGAGGCCCCTGGCAGCCTTGGCCCCTGCCACGGGCTGTGGCTGTCCCCAGGGCTCTGTGGCTTCGCCCCCCCCTCCACCCCCTCCCCTCTGCCCCAGGCTTCTGCCCCGTGGGCACGGGGGGGCGGGGGTGGGCGGCCGGGTGTGTCCCGAGGGTGCGGGCAGTCATGGAAATCAACGTGCTTCCTGGCCAGCACCTCGGGCTGACCTCGTCCCCAGGCACGGGGTCGGGCATCCCACCAGGGCGGCAGCAGCCGGGGCCCCGAGGGCCGAGGGCGCCAGGGCCTCACTCCTGCTCCCCCCTGCCGCCTCCTGGGCTCCGGGGCAGGTCAGCCGCCTCAAGGTCCCTGGAGTGAAGTGAGGGCTGGGGACCTGTGACATCGGGCCGCGTCCTGTCACTCCGCAACGTGCCCCTACTGCTGCCAGCCTCTGTCCCGAGTCACTGCTGAGGGCTGAGGAGGCGCTGGCGCTGTCTCCGGCCCTGGTGACACCAGGCGCTGGCCTCCACTGGACCCTCAACACTCGACCAAGGGAACGTGGCGGGCAGCATTTCCTGTGACCCTGAGCTGCCCCCAGGGCCCAGGACTGTGGACAGTTGGTGCTGAGGAGCCGGTGCCTCAAGGTCACACCCCTGTCCCTGTCAGAAGGTGGGTGCCCCTCGCCCCGCCCGCCATCCTGCCGCCCGAGCCAGGTGGGGGAGGCCCCAGAGGCCCTGCGGAGGACACTGGCAGGAAGCAGCCCTGGTGCTGTGCCCCGGCTGGACGCCACTGGCCACAGGAGCTGGTGCCAGCTGCAGGTGGGCGAGGGTGACCTTGGGAGCTCACACGTCCCCTGGGGGAGCAGAGGCAGGTGGCTGCACACAGGGCTTGTTGGGGACCACAGGACAGGAGCCACAGCTGGACAGAGCAGCTTCCCACCTGGGAAAGGGCAGGGCTGCCCCCTCCTGAGGGCCCCAGCAGCAGAGGCTCAGCCCCCCAATGACCAGACGCCCCAATTCCCATGGGGGCTGCCATGACAGGGCCGGAGCAGAGCAGGCCACGGAAGGAGATGAGCTCCTGGAGCCCCATCCAGCGTGGCCTGCGCTTCAGGGACGGCTGAACCACTGGTCAGGAGAACCCAGGGTAGAGCAGGAGGCCATGTGGCAACTAGAGCCAGGGACTGGCCTAGGTCTGGAGCCCACTGTGTTGAGATCCCCGCAGTGAACTGGTTCTACCGGTCAGTAAATGACCAGATCATTTCCAATAACAGATAAATGGAGCCGTGGTCGGTGGTGACGCGGGAGTGACGGGGTTAGGTAGGACTGAGCGGAGCTGACAGCCCGTGATCATCCGAGGGATGGGCCACGGGCAGCAAGGACAGAAAGTGCAAAAGTCCTGGGGCACCAACGGCAGCCAGCATCAAGGCCGATAAGGCCGGGCGTGGGGCCTGTTGTGTGCTGGGAGGGAGCGAGGGTTGGGGGGCCGTGGTGGGGAGGGGTCGGGGGCCATGGTGGAGGATTCCGGTTTCCATCCTGAGGCAATGGGAAGCCAGCGTGGGACGGACCCCATGGCTCTCCTCGTCGTGCCCAGCACTTCACAGGGAGCCTAGTGAGTGGCCACTGACCACCATCCTGTCCCCAGCGAGCCAGCAGTGATGACATGTGCCATCTGCGTGGCAGGCCCTGGTCCAGCGGGGGCGTTTGCCACTGAGACAAGGATCCCTGCCCCTGGGGCTGATGTCCTCATGGGAGGAGAGGGCTGATGTGACAGGTTGGTGGCAGAGATGACAGACAGGGGGAGGGTATGCGGGACAGGGGCAGCTGCAGGGCCCGTGAGGGTGACGTTGGGCAAGACTGGAGAGAGTTCAGAGTGACCGGCACCCCGAGGCTTCACGGTCCTCAGCGCCCCTCAGGAGGAGCGTGGCCTCCTTGTCCCCAGCGGCCAGTCCTGGAACTCTGTGAGAGGATCAGGGGCCTGGACATGGAGGGGCACTCGTGCATAGGACCCTTTTGTGACACGTGGCCTGGGACAGGGGACAGCCTCTGGGGGCTCTGGGAAGCTGGCCCTGTGGCCGCCCTTGACCTCACCTGGTTCCCCAGTGAGGGGGAGGGGAGGGTGACAGGATCCGGGCACCGGGCCAGCAGCCTCCCAGAGCAATGGCGCTGCCCCCCGGCTCCTGGGCACTCCCTGCCCCCGGGAGGTCCCTGGGTGCCAGTCCTGGGGTTCGAAGGCCCACCCGAGAGCGGCGGGGAGGGCCACCCAAGGTCACCCGGAGCTTGGGGCTGGGGGCAGCCAAGAGCAGGGTTTGTGGGAAGACGTCCACTTTGGTGCTAAAATGTCATGTTTTCAAAAATGGGATTTGGGGATCTAAAACTTCCTGGCCCCCCCGGGTGACGGACGGGAAGAAGCGCCAGCTGCCCCCAGGCCTGAGAACCGCCACGCCCAGCCCAGCCCTGGGAGGAGCCTCCACGCTGGGCTTCTCGTCCAGCTGTCCCCGCGCCACCTGCTGCCCACCAGGGATCAGGATGGCAGAGCCAGGGCCCGGGAGGAGCGCCACACCCGGCCGCCAGGGATGTGGCGGGAAAGTAACTGCTGCCGGGGAGAACACCCAAGGGGCGGGCAGAGGCCCTGAGGCATAAAGCCGGCCTCTTGGGAACTGTCCGGGCACCGGGGATTGGACAAGAGGGCACTCGGGAGAGAAGCCACAGGAAGAGGAGCAAGAAAACGAGRGTCTGCTCAGAGCAGAGGAATTGGAGGAGGAAATGGGGGCCGCTGAAGGGTTCTGACAGTGACCCACCCTGGCTCCTGCTTTGGAGTGACCAGCTGGGAAGCTGCAGGACAAGAGGGTGCGGAGGTGCCTGTAGGTGAGGCAGGGCTGACGGCGGTGGGGACCGGGCTCGGGCGTCTCCAGCATCGGCACATCCTGTCTTTGCAGCCCCTGCTGATTCTCTAAGTGCCTCGTCCTTTACTCACTTTAGAATCGGGGCCAGGAGGGACGTCGGGGCCGCGGGAGAACCTGGGCCGCCAGCCCCTGGCATCACGGCATCTAAGCACACGATGCCCGTCGCCCGCGCTCTGCTCTGCCKCGAAGCTGGGTGGTTGAGTAGGAGGGCAAAAGGCCGAGGGAAGCCGGGGCTCCTTAAGAGAACGGCCGTCTATGAGCACGTTTTCACCCGGCCATCCTGCACCTGGCTGTAGGGGCGGAGGGGAGACCGGAGAGGCACGGGACGGGGACGGGGGCGGGTGGGGGACCGGGAGAGCCCAGAGCCGACGGGTGGAGGCAGGAATCGCGTTGGCCTTCCTGTGGGTCCTTTAGCAGCAGCTGGGTGTTAATGGAAAGAGCACCAGCTTCACATCAGAGCAGAATTAGAGCTGCAGCTGTGTGATGTTAGGCAAGGTACTTACCCTCTCTGTTCCTCAGCTTCCCAGTTTATCAAATGAGACTGTTACCAACGTTTGTGGATTAGATACGTAAAACGGATACATAGCAAATGTTCAATGCACAGGGGGGATCTCAGATTTTCTGTAATAATATGTTATTACTTTTTTATTACATAAAAGTAATGTATGCTTAACCGCAAACGAAAGGAGAAGAAAGAAAATCTAGAAAGTTCTAAAGAATCAAATGAGCGTCATTGGAAGCCTCTTGGGGGCCTGGCACCCCCTCAGGGCCCTGGGCTTCCGTCTCTTCCCTGTGCCTATGAAAACATGGAGATGCTTTGAAACCAGAAAGCCAAGGTGCACGTCAGGTCACCCGTGGAAGTCCCTCGTCACTCAAGGACACCTGTGGACGTTGGTTCAAGTAAAAAAAAAGAACCTGTCCTTCTGCGCAGCCGTTTTCTTTCTTTTTAAAATCATGAGGAAATAAGTCCAGAGGCAGGAAAGCAGCTCAACCCACCTGCGCGTCGGGCAGACGGGGACGTCAGGTCGTCCCCCGGCTTCTCTGGGTAACGCTACTGTCCCAGAGCTGGAAGCAAACGCCTACTCTGTCGCGGTGCCCATTGTCGCCGCTGATGCCTGATGGCCCAGGAGCGCCCCCGTTGCCCCGTCCCCTCCCGGGTTTCTCTTCCCTCGGTCTGTGACGACGCTGCCATGGCCCTGTGCGGCCTCCTCGGTGGCCAGGTGGTCACTCAGGAGGAGCAGGCACATCAGCGAGGACCCCGATCCGCTTTCTCCTCCAGGGCGGATTCCTAGAGGGGACTTTCCAGAGGCTTTAATGGCATATGACACATCGCCCTCCAGAGAGACGCTGCCCGTTCACAGCCCAGCAGGGCCGGCCCTGGACATCGGGGGTGTGGGTGACGCAGGGACATTAAAGGGAGAGACGCAGAGAGGAGGGCGGAGGCCTGGTGTCCCCAGGGCCAGCCCCGACCAGGGGGCGCCCAGGGCCCAGGCACAGCCCATAGGTGACCATGACGGATTAAGTCCTGAAGCAACGGTTCCGTCGAACCTGGGGACAGAGCGAGGAAGAGACTCTTGGGTCTAATTGGAGCTGCTT